CTCATTTATCTTTTCAAAATAGGGTTTTTTTGTTTGGTATGGTTTGTTTTTTAAAAATGTATATATAAAGAAAATATATTCTACAACACTGCATTCTCAAATCACTATGTTTGTCTGAAAGCAATCTGCCAAAAGAATCACCCAGTTTGGAAAATACCAAGCAGAAAAGTGATGAGCATCAAGTCCAAGTCACACTATTTGGATGGTTCAAATATGTACTTTTAAGAGGTCATCTGGGAGGTGGAGTCAGGCTTGAATTCATAAATCTTAAATATGAAAATAAGTGGCTCAGCCCTGGGCATATGCAACGCTGTGATTATGTGACTGTTTAGGCAGATAAGTGAAAGTATGGGAGTTTTAATGCTTATACCAGGAATTTCAGGCACTTTCCTTCTCCACTGTAACAGCTAGTCGAGTTGAAGTTCGCTACAGGACTGTTTGGAATCTTTCCCATAGGACATGAAGTCCTGTAAAATATATCGACTTCCAATAGGAAATGATAAATTTCCCTTGCAGTTGACTTTGAGATTTTAATGTAATTTTGTCCAATCCGCTGTTTAAGGCGGATTGTCCTTAGGCCCACCAGTTAAGGCATTAGTCAACCAAGATCCTCTCCGTCTGCAAAGAAATTACTCTGACTACCAAACACACGGTTAGTCCTTTGCAATGATTAAAATGCAAGACCCTGTTTTGGTAGTGAAGTGTTTCTTCCTCAAGTATCTCCTATCTGAAACAAGAATCTCAAAGTTCTGGAGATGAGAGGAATCAGATATACAAGTCTAACTCACATAAAAAAACCCCACAACCACACAGCACCACCACCACCCCCACACTGTGTTTTTTAGGGTTTTTTATTGTCAGGTTTTTTTCCCTCTCAACCAAAGGGGCTCCCAGCCATAAATAATAAATAATGCCTTGAGTACTGGACATCATAAGCAAAGATAAAGTTGAGAGGAGAAAGATGAGGACAAATAGTTTCAGTCTGCCCTAAGCCTTTAAATGCTAAGACTTTTTACCATTGTAGACACAGTATTCAGAAGCAGCATTAAAACAGGATTATTGCTTTGGTCATTATCTAGAAGTGCAGTGTAGGAGTAAGGGGGGAGGAAAGGGAGGAAGAGTATGCACAGGCTAAGATCACCACCTAGTGACAGAACTTTTGCTCTGCAGGTGGTTTACTGAAATACTAGACAAGTTACTGTGCCAAAGAAACAAACCATCCAGTCCTTTTATAATAATAATCCTCTAATGTAAGGATTATATATTCCTGCAGGATTAGGAAAAAATTCAGACCTTATGTTCTGCTGCAGTGAGGTACTTAATACTTCACTGGTTCTTTTTGTTTTCTTCTTTTAAAAACAATCAAGAACAAATATTTTCTTGAATTTGTGGAAGATTAATTTGGCAGAGCACCTGTTCTAATATTCCCTAAACTAACAATTTAGATAAAAATAAGTGAAATATTATTTTAACCTGAGCAGTTTTAAAATTAATTATTTTGACATTATTCAACAGAAGCGTGAGTTTTCTGAACTGGTGGGGCCCTGAAAAACATAGAATAAAGAACTTTATGGAAGAGGAAGCATTCCTCCTACACGAGGGTAACAGCCCTGGCTGCGTACCTTTGAGCAGCACCAAACTTTGGAGGAGTGCTGGGTGAAGTATGAAGAGTTCCTAGAATCTGTTTTTAAGTCTTATGGCAGAATAGATTATTCTTTTCTTTCATATTTTACTACTTTATTTCCCTCCCTGCACAGCACTGCCATAATTCAAAATGGTAAATGTGAAGCATAATCTTTGATGTGGATATATAATTATTTTATGTTCAGAATAATAAATCTCTTCTACAGATAGGACAAGCGTGTTGAAAACTAGTCTTTCAGATGAAACACATGCCATCTACTTTCTTGTTACCGAGGTATCTTTTTTCCCCAGTCCTGAGAAAGACACTTCTGTTCCCTCCCTTTTACACACTACAAAGACCCTTGCCACAACCCAGTGCATCCTCATCTTGGCCACCCCATCCCTTGCTCTGCTTCTCCACCCCATCTAAGTTCCATGTTTTTGTTTCGAGGTATTCCATAGCTTGTGCCACTCAGGCCATCTTACACACAGGTCTACAAGGTATTTTCACCCGCAACCAGTGGGCCTGTCATGTCACTGTCCAGCAGTCATTAACTTCTCAAACACTGTTATGCTTCATCTCTAATCACTCAAGTTACCTACCTCTGTGATAACAGGATTAATTACGGCCTTTCAAAAAATAGTTACTTAAACCCTATCGTTTTAGCACACTAAACAATGCTGTCTATTACCTTGTACTCTCCATCCGGTCTTTAGATGTCTGTTTTCTACTCTTTTACCCCTAGTCATAGGCTATTTGGGGTAGATCCAGTGCATACATGCTAGCACAACTAATGTTCTAGGCTACTCAGCCCTAGGAACACAGAGCTACACACCTCTCCCGGCTACTGGCTAAACAAAAATTGAAGCAATGGCTCATGCTGAACAGTTAATGGACAACAAATGACATCTAAATCCTACAGTTAGGGAAGGTACTAGCAACTGTACTAAAAGCAGAAGCTGAGCCCTGTGAGTTTTTGATATAGAAAGGCATGCGCTAGCTGCAACTGCTACAGCACTGAAGAAAGAACATATAGTGCAGGGATTAGAAACATTCTTTTTAAGGCAGGCTTTTTGTTTGGTTGGTTTTGTTGTTTTGGGGCATTTTGTTGTTGTTTGTTTGTTTGTTTTAATAGCACCAGAACAGTTTAGACAGCTCTAAAGTAAGATGTAACCACTGTACAAAGGTACTGCTCAGCTGATAGTTAGGTGCTGTGCAAAGGGATAACTTTGCTTGCTTTGGGAATAGCTGTGTTGAAATACACGATGTTAAATACGAATGTCTGTGCTCAGACAACTGATTACTCTGGCTCCCCTTCTACTGATATATTTTAATCTGCTATTCTATAACAATATTTTCATTCAGCTTTTAACAATTAAAAAAGCCCCTGTTACTGCCAATATCTATCATGCCTGGAATGTCAGTAATCAGTGTTGCTCTATAATCCATCAACGCAGCTGGGCTGAGACATGCCATAATTAATTTGGATGAAAGGAACATATTTGAAATAAAAAGCAGGTCTTCATTCTCTCTGAATAATGTAAACATGCACCCCATTTTACAGTTGAACAAGCTCCACCTACACTATACTTCTGTGCCCAAGCTTACTAGAGATACTTAAAAAGAGAAATAACAGGTATTATTTTTAAAAGAAAGGGTAAAACCACCCATTATTTACACAAGTATAGCCAGTATGGGAAGTTCAACAAAACACGGACATACATATGAGTTCTGTATTATACATCTATATTTATGTCTACGTATCTGTATGTAGACATGTTATCTATTTTATAATACATAAGACATATTAATGTGGAGTTTTATTCTGATAACATCCACACCACCAGGCTAATTAGTTTCAGTACTGAAAAGAAAAAAGTATTTCTCGTGTGTCAGAAAGAGCGAAACTGATTTAAAAGCCTTTCGGTGAAGAAATGTAAGATTCCCCAAAACTAAGCTTCTTGGAAAGCAGGAAAGTCTGTTCCTCAGCAGAAAATATGTATTAAAAATAAACACATCTTATCTTTCAAGAAGGAAAACAAGTGCCTGAACTAGTTCTGAATGACCCTTTCTGGCACAGTGGAAATGGCATTTGGACATCACTCTTCCCAGAGAGGGGGCTCCAGTTTGGGAGTGGAGACGACTTACCTCGGAGCAGCTCCAGCGCTTTCGGGTGCTGGTTCCCGAGGCGGACACAGCTCCGACGTTCACAGGTGCTGCTGCAGGGGCTCAGGGCAGGTGGCCGGGGAGCGCTGCGGCGGCGAGGCATCCCCGCTGCGCTGGGAGCCCGACCCCAGAGGTGCCCAGCTGCTCTGCAGGGGCAGCTAGCCCACACAGGGGACAAAATTAAAGCAGCTGCCTGCTTCTGGCAGTTAGCCTGAAAGCTTATGCTTTTGCACAGTATGGCATTGTGCCTTACACAAGTTCCTCCAGAGTTTAGAATCAGAAGATTCAGGTATTTTGAAGCTTCTCCTCCAGATGGATTTCCCTTCTTGTGCCTCCACCACTTGCAATAAAACCTCATCTTGAAAGCAACTTTAACTTACAAATTAAAAAAAAAACAACCAAACAAAAAATCCCCCACACACTACTTCGAGACGTAGCAACCTGGTTTTATACTCTCTAAAGCCCCTTAAGCTCTCCGTGAGAAGTTAGTTATTGTGATGCCAACTCTAACAGCAGTACTTTCAGTCTGCATGGAAGATAAAGATTAAGTGGTAAGTGTTTTCAGGCTAATTTAATACAATATAAAGCAAATAAAACTGTATCTCTTATTTAAGATAAGCAATACAAAGCTTACATTATACTTTGTCAAAATGGCATCTCCAGGAGGCAATGACTAATATACTCATGGTGAATTAGTCTTCCACATATGACAAAAGCAGGAATAAAGAGCATCTATCTACCTCAGGTCAACAACAACAAACTAGATAAAAACATTTACTTCATGTTAACTAAGCATATTTTTCCCAAAATAACATTCCGTTTTGAGCTGGCTTAACGTGATGCACTAAATCAATCTGGTTTTCATTTCTGCAACCAATTTGTCTTCCAAACTATGCATACCCAGTTGCATAAACAAATCCTTACTATAACCACAAAAGCAGCTGCCTCAGTTTCTGTTATAATGAGCCATTCACATGTTTCATTTGCTCAGGCATTTTCTTTCCACATGCTAGAATTTAACTGTCAGAAACAGAGGCCATAGGTATTAAAATAATGCGTGAAAAAAAATTGAGAAATGAAAGCCTCACCCACAGCACACCTCAGTCTTGTACCAACATAGGTCCCACTGAGGTTTCTTTTTCCTATCTATAAAGCAGAAATAAGACACTTGCAGGAACGCACCACTACAGTCTAGAAGAAAGTGAATCACTTAATAATTAATTTTAGCTTTATTTTATGTGTACATTTGTACATCTCAGTCAAGTTCACAAAATGTAAAACTTTTGTTATCAGAGTATTTCTTACAGAGGTCGACTTATAGCTTTATGATTACTTATAAGAACATGCAATAAGCCATGGAAAGTTGATGAAAATATTTTAACAGAAACTTTTAATCACATGAATGAGCATGAGAAATTGTGTTTGACTTGTAAATTCTGTACACAAGCTATTATAAAACATTTGCTATCACACACAAAAAAAAAAGATAAAAACTACTTAAAGGCTCTTGAAATCCTACAATTGGACAAGTGTTCCACTGTGCCTCCATTCTAAAGCATGGAGGTGGAAATTGTGCAGAAAAAAGTTTTACTTTAAATAACTGCCCAATTGTTATTGCTGCTTTTCAAAGACTCTGAAAGCATACAATGAAAACTCAGACCAAAACAAACAGTTGAAAGGACATATGTAGACCATTACTGCAATTAAAAGTCAAAAGTTGACTACAAAAGTTTCTCAAAATGTTGTGGTTTTCTTTTTATATGTACATAAAGATCTATACACAAACAGTGAAATAAAAAAGTTGCTTAAAAAATGAAAGATAGTAGTATACAGTATTTACAGCTTAAATGTCACTTTTTTTTTTATTTGATCTAAACTGTAACATGAACATGCAGTACATCCACAACTCAAAATGAATACCTTTTTTGCAGTGTAATATAGTCCTGTACAAAGCACAGATCAACTATATATTAAATCATTCTTCTCCATCACTCTTCTTTGAGCTTCAAAACAATGCCTAGGTCAAGAACCTATTACTTACATAACTTCATCAAGTGAAAACATGAATATCTATTTCTAATACAAATTTGCAGACTACGTTCTATCCACAAGACACTTTATGGAGAGATATTATGCTGCATTGTGTATGATCTATTGTTTAAGTCATGCTTGATGAAAAACAGTATTGGAGGGGCACAATTTTGTCAGTGGTCTAATGGATACTTTTTGCCTTGTTAATTTTTAAAGATTTTCAAATTCCCTTTTTCCTCTTCTCTTGGCTCAGCCAAATCCAAAAGGTTATAATACTGACTGTATTTGTAAAGCTTATAGTACAAGTCACAGTTATCAGTACAGATGTCAATTACTGTAGCCTTTTTCTAACTGTAAAACAGGTATCTGTCTTCAGTAGTTTCTGTAAGCATTTCTGAAGTATTATGTGCTATTATATATATTGCCACTGTCAAAAATTTAGTTACATAAATACCTGATTATCCTCTAAAACCCCAAAATAATAAAGATCTTCAAAACTCCATTATCTGTCCGAAATGTGCTTAACTTTTATACAAGTAAAAACCTCCAGCCAAGTAATTTTAAAAGGTTTATAGATTTTTAGCTCTGATGACCTCATCAATATACCTTATATTGATGGATAACACAGAAACAGATTTTACAAAGTTGATACTAAATACCTGAATCAACTTCAAAAGTTAGATCTCAAATCAAAATGAATGCAATTTGCATCAATCAAGTATTATTTATTTCATTGAAAATATCTCTTCACTATTTATTTTGCCTTACAGGTTTGGGGTTTGCTTGTTTTTTTTTTTTTTTTTTTACAGAAGCAGCACGTAAGGACATACTATGGACTCCCTTTAACAACTGACTACTCTTACCAGTATTCAAGCAGTAATTTCCTAAAGTGTTCAGTAACTACAAGATGAACAATTAGAAATGAAAAAAAATGTGTGCTCCTGAAAGAAAATACTTCTATAGATCATTACTTTAGAGTATAATTGCTTTTACACCTGTGATAATGGGAGAATACCCTAAGCAGTAACATATCATTGCGGACTTCGAGATACCTTTGTGCTTACATTTAAACTTAATGCACAAATTGATTTGATATGACTCTAGGCACGAGTGTGGGAAACAGCATGCTGCAGGATACAGTTTTTCTCACTTACAAGGTATCAAATGGTATGCACTGAGGTTAATGCCTATGACATTTTCACCAAAGGATGTGAAGTTCAGCACACAAACTAATGCAGCCCAGCTGAAGGTTTCACTGTTGTAACAGAGCGCAGAACTCTTTTCCCTCTGACCTTAAGGGTTGTGATGGTGGTGACCAAATATTTGACTTTTAACCCAGTACAAATTTTCAGCTGTGTTAAATTCACCTGTATACAAAGAACACTTATTCCTTCTGAAGCAACAGCTGAGGATTTAAACAGTCTTTTCACCTCGGGCTGCTCCTGATCTAGAGGTTAAAAATAAAGCAAGCATTCAAAAGGTATTCTGCCAATATGCTGATGCAGTTGTATGTTAAATTCTGGTAACACTGAAATGAAGTAATATTCTAGCATTTAAATATATGTAGCACTCCATTATAATTTATGAACAAAATTCAGAATTTAATTTTATCTCAAATTTCTTGGAATTTGATTAGGTTGCAGTTGTTATCCTAACAACCAATCTCCACATCTTTTCCCCTTAACTGAAATACACATATGATGAAAAAACATATTTCTAGAAACAAAAGAGTAACTGAAAAAATTCTCATGTTCACAATTGTTTTTCTAAGCTTTATTAGAGTCACACTTTTTTTTTTTTTTTTGGCCCTGATTCATTCATACTTCCTTACACCTGGCAATACTATTGTGTCTGAAGAAGAAAATTAATTGCTTATGTGGAATTGTACATGTGACATTGAATGGCTATGTACAAAACCATGCAACTTAATATGCTCATGATATAATACTCAGATTTAATGCAGGAAAGGCTTTGTTAGAATATGCTTACTGCATGAAATACATAAATTAAACCAGAAAATAACAATTAAACCAGTTCTTAGAGTTATTAGAGCTTAGACTCCATCACAGCTTCTGCTCAAACGGCATTTATACACGCCTCACCCCCAAGAGAATTCAAATAGAAATTGTAAGCAAAATAAATATCAATGTGCAATATGTTGAACAGGAAATACTATTTCCTTTAGAGTAATAAAAACAGTGTACTTCAAAAACATAAAGCTATTTTACACAAAATCAGGACTACTCTCTTTGGTCCGTGTTGAATGTTCAAAACTGGTTAAATTATTGGTTTCTTTAAAAAACTGTCAACAACAAACTTCAAATTATATCACTGGTCATGGTACACAGATTAGTTTCATAAACTCAGAAATACCCACAAAATGAAAGAAAGTAATTATTTGGAAGATCTTTTATTTTTCCTGCAATATAGCTGGCATTTTTAGTCAAAGCAAAATTTTTTGATCTGGGGAATAAGCCAGGCCCACCGGAGCAGTGACAAATGTTCCCTAGTTGCCTCCCAAGATGAGAGCCAGAAGACCAACCATCTCAAGTGCATGCATACCGATGCACACAGCCTGAGGAACAAACAGGAGGAACTGGAGCTCCACGCCCAGGCAAAGTTACGATATCATAGGAATAACTGAAACACGGTGGGCCAACTCACATGACTGGAGGATCACGATGGATGGATACAGGCTGTTTTGTGAAGAGAGGCAGGGAAGAAGAAGAGGAGTTTCACTCTATGTTAAGGAGAACCTTGAATGTGTAGAAGTCAACTGCAGTGATTGTAGAAGCCCTATTGAATGCCTCTGGGTCAAGATCAGAGGGGTCGGCTCTAAGGAGGATCTTACAGTAGGTATCTGCTACCAACCTCCAAACCAAGATAAGGCCAACGAAGTAATATTTAAGTCACTTAAGCAAGCTTCAGGTCAACAGAACCTGGTTCTTACGGGTGACTTCTACTACCCAGACATTTGTTGGAAGAACAGTACAGCAGCTCACATGTCATCCATCAAGTTCCTTGAATGTGTAGAGGGCTGCTTCCTCATACAAATGTTAGATGTGCCAACCAGGAACGAGGCCTTGCTGGACTTGCTGCTCACAAACCAAGAAAATCTGCTTTGTAGTATCTTGGTTAGTGATAGCCTTGGCTGCAGTGATTACAATATTGCAGAGTTTGGGATCCTGTTGAGCACACTGAAGTTTAGTACCAAGACAAAGGTTTTAGATTTTAGGAGAGCAAACTCCACCTCGCTCAGAGCTGAGCTGGGAGGCATTCAGTAGGAAGCTTCCATGGAGTTAGTGAGTGCTGGGGTTTTTTCAAGAGCGCTTTCCTGGAACCACAAAAATAGCTCATTGCCTTTAAAGGTAAGGGAAGTAGGTGGAGCAAGAGACCTCCTTGGCTTAACTACAAGCTTCTGAGTCTGCTCAAAAACAAGAGAAGTGTATCAGAGATGGAAAAGCAGACTAATACCCATTGAGAACTACAAGAGCATTACCGGGATATGCAGAAATGCAGTTAGAAAAGCAAAATCTCAGCTTGAATTTAAATTGGCCAGAAATGTCAAAAACTACAAGGGTTCTTCAGGTATGTAAAGAACAAACAGAAACAGAAGGAAAATATTGGCCCACAGTTAAACAGGAAAGATGAATTAGTCCTCAAGAATGCTGAAAAGGCAGAGGTTCTCAACACTTCCTTCACCTCTGTCTTTAGCAGCAGTGTTGGGCCCCAGGTCTTGGGAACAAAAATCCAAGTCAGTGCAAACACAAACCCACCATCAGTGAGGGGAGCGTTGGTATGCAACTATTACAGGAGCTTGACCCCTTATCAACAGATGGGCCCTGATGTTATCCACTCAAGGGTGTTAAGAGATCTGGCTGACGTCATTGCAAGGCCACTCTCCATAATTTATGAGAAGTCATGGAGATCAGGGGATATCCCAGATGACTGAAAGAAGGCTAATGTCACCCCCATCTACAAGAATGGCTTAAAGGAGGATCCAGAAAATTACAGGCCCATCAGTCTTTTTTCAGTCCCTGGAAAAGTTATGAAACGAATCCTCCTGGGGGCTGTCACAAGTCAGATGAAGCACATGATTGGAAAAAGCCAGCATGGATTCACCAAGGGCAAATTACGCTTGACAAACCTAATCACCTTCTGGGACAAAGTAACCTTCTTAGTTGATGTGGGGCAAGAGGTAGACGTTGTCTACCTGGATTTCTCCAAGCCTTTGGATATGGTCCTCCACATCTGCCTCCTAGAGCAACCGATATATTATAGTCTAGACAAGTGGTCCATGTGATGGGTGGGGAACTGGCTGCCAGGCCACACCCAGAGGGTGGGGGTAAATAGCTCCTTTTCAAACCAGCAACCTGTCCCCGGGGTCCCCCAGGGACCAATATTGGGCCCAACAGTGTTTAATATCTTCATAAGTGATCTGGACGATGGGATCAGGCATACCCTGATGAAGTTTGCAACAATACCAAACTGAGCAGATACTTCAGAAGGGAGAGCCACGCTGCAGGAAGACCTGGATAGGCTGAAAGAGTAGGCTCACAAGAACATTATGAAGTTCAACAAAGACAGATGTAAGGTCTTGCACCTGGGAAAACATAATCCAGGAGTGCAGCAGCACAGGCTGGGAAGCAGCTCTGCAGAAAACGACCTGGGGGGCCCGGTAGACAAGCTCAGTATGAGTGAACAGTGTGCTGCTGCAGCAGAGAAAGCCAACGGGATGCTGGGTTGCATCAACAAGGGCATCACCAGCAGAGATAAAGAAGTGGTTATCCCATTCTACTCAGAGCTTGCCAGGCCACACCTGGAATCCTGTGTTCAGTTTTGGTCCCTGCTATTCAAAAGCTGTGGACAGGCAGGGTCCAGAAAAAGACCACAAAGATGATCGAAGGACGAGGAAGCTGCCATGCGAAGAAAGGCTGAGAGAACTGGGTCTGTTCAGCCTTGAGAAGAGAAGGCTTAGGGGAGACCTTATCACCATGGTCCAGTATTTAAAAGGTGGCTACAAAGCAGATGGAAACTCCCTTTTACAAGGAGTCACATGGAAAAGCCGAGGGGTAATCGGCACCAGCTACTCCTCGGGAGATCCCAATTAGACACAAAAGGAATATTTTTCACAATGAGAACAATCAGCCATTGGAATAATCTCCCCCAGAAATGGTGGATCCCCCAACACTGCATACTTTTAAGATTCGGCTGGACAGGGTACTGGGCCATCTTGTCTAGGTTGTGCTTTTGCCAAGAAAGGTTGAACCAGATGATCCTTGAGGTCCCTCCCAACCTGGCATTCCATGATTCCATGATCATACTGATAAGTTGGAAGTGTGGAATGTTTAAATCTTTAACAGTGAAGCTGTTAACAGAAAAAGCTGTCTTTAACAGAATCTTCTTCACATTAAACATTATATTCAGTAACCCCCCTTCCCCTCAAAGATGAAATTGTGTTGATGTATTATTTGTTCTTTACTAGAAAGTAATCATTAACAATGCAGAATGTGCCTAGTGATACAATGCAGAGACAGGCAGAGCTATTTGAAAATAGTGCTAAATAATCCTGTGTGGACATCTGCACAACACTGTATTGTTCAAAAGGGAGCCAGAGTACCATCAGTGCCATTCATACACAAGATATCTTTGTAGCCTAATAACAAGGAGGCGGGGGGGGGGGGGGGGGGGGGGGGGGGGGGGCCCGCGGGGAGAGAATGAAAAAAAAAAAAAAAATCATTATCCGGAATAATTTTTCTTGGAAAAGTTATTTCAATTGTTAGTATGTGTAAGATATAGAACACACCCCAAAACCATAATTCATATATATATTTGCATACACTGCACTGACTAGAGCACCTTATGTTTAACAACGCTGTTTTTTAAGGATGTGGAATGAAACTTTGAAGTTTCACAGACATAAGGCCACTTACACTTCCTTTCACTGCTGGAGTTATTATGCAGTAAGTTAATGTTACGACCAAAGAAAACATTATAGAAAAACCATTTGTCCTATGTATTCCTCACAATAAATAGTTTAAAATAATTTTCTATCAAATACATAACTTTGTCTCTGTAAAGCCACAAAGGCATTATATTATCTGCCTATTTATTGTTGTCAGGCAATAATGCCATATAAAGCAGAGACAACTAGGCATCCAACAGCTTTTTAAAATTGATGACAATGATCTATGCAATAAAAATTATCTGGAGAAAGGTAATTAAGATTTGTAGAGATGCCTCCTCGTCAAGGGAGGAAAGTTATAATGGTAACAATTTACTTGGCACTGCAATTAAAATGAAGGATGAAATTCATCAGTAAGTTTCACATATGCATTTTGTAAGTTAGTAGTAGCCTGTGATAGTTTAACTCAGGGAAAAATAACAGCCATTGCTCAGTGGTAGTATAATAGCCTTGTACAATAAATAAGAACGAAGATGCTCAAGGAAACTGGGAAGAAGTTTCAGTGTGAGGTAAAGTCATGAGACAATCTAAATAACTGAATACAGTCCTTCATAAACCAGTTGGTTTTGATCCAGACAAGCATTTCCAGGTTGTCAAACAAATACTTTAATGTCTGTTGAGTAAGACATTATATCAAATCAGAAACAGCAAAAATAGAACAAGAATGGTAATTAGAACAAAATACAGTAATTTAAAAAAAAAATACTCTCCCCTAAAAATATATGTAACAAGGCACATTAGGAGGAATATCTTAAATTATTTCATTATTCAATTTGACTTAAATACCTGAAACCAGTTTTCTTATAATTTAAGAAAATGGGGAGAAGTTTAAATTGCCTTTTATAGATGTAGTAATTTTGTAGTAATTTCATTGTCTACTAAAGTGCAATGATTGTTATGCTAGAAACTATCAGCATAAAAGCCACAAGATGAAAAACCCAAACAATGAAAAATAAATTCTTGAAGACATTCAAAATAATGAGAATATATGCATTCAGCCACATTTTAAAGCAATTCAAAGCCAAAAATAACACTGAAAAGGTTTATAAACCTGTATTTTACCTTGTTCCCTGAAAAGCCCACAACTTTGTACATTTTCCAAACAAGACTTAAATACTTTTAAAGAAAACAAATATTAACAACCTTAGCACTTAAAAAGTTTATATGAAGTAAAACAAAGGCAGGCAGGTTAATTCATTGTATTTTGAAGCACTAAGCGATATGACTAGATGGTAAATTATATTTTACCATATTCTTTTAGTTGTGCAATAGGTGGCCATGGTTTCAATAGTCCTGAAAGTCTTTTTGATATCTTAACAACAAAACCTTTGAGCAATTCACTCTTCCTGTCAGCATTAAAAGCTGACAGCTGAAAAGCATTCAGTTGAGGAAAGATTTAAAAGATTCCCTATTCCTCACCGAGCACTTTGTGCCCTTTAAATTTTGCATGTCATAAATAATTAGTAATTAGACTTGAAATTTCTATTCACTCCAAAACATTCACATTTAAGACATTTCACATGTACATCACTACTGTCCCTTTTAAACCAGAAAAGCACAAACTCTACTGAAAGCTAAGTATTTGAAAGTTCCAGGTATCTTAACCTTTCCAAAGATACAAAGTGTTCAGAAACAAGGTAGTAAATACATTAGTGCTGCCCCACTTCCAAACTTTTGGAGTGTAGTAACTATTTTAAACTTAACATTTTTGTTCTGTAGAAAACCAGTATATCATATTTTTACCCCTTTCCATTTTCCTCATAGGTGGATTCTCAAAATCTTTTATATTTGTGTGTTCTGTAAATACATGTAGGGTTAAGAGTCCTATCAGTGCTCAAGTAAATATAGGGAGCTTGTTTGCAACAAGTAGCCTTTCTGAGGTTTTCAGAAGTTCAGGTAACCATCTGTATGTTTAAAACAAAATAATTTCAAGGAAAGCATCAATTTACGATTTGTTTGTGCATACACAACAGATTGTACTTAGTAATCCTTATACACTTTCCTTAAGCCACTGATTTCTGACAAGCTAAAACCAGGAAGAAGTTACGTGCTGAGCTTCAGAAAACTGCCATGAGCCATTCTACACACAGTGCTAATTACATCAGGGTTGCTAAAGCCGTGGTTCTTAAGCCCCATAAAAATTCATCTACGCTTTGAAACAGACCTAACAGTTGTTTTGAATGCTGAATAAGAACATTCAGCATTCAAAGAGATTCCACTAATACAAAACTTATCTTGCTATTTTACCTGAATTCAAGTAGAGCATATGCTCACAGTATTCTTCTATAATTACAATTTCAGAGCTTACCTAACCAACAGTTAAGAATTGAACTCCGAGTTTGGCACACAGGAGCATCCCTTTATTTTATTACAACACTGTTAAGAACAAGGATCCCATCACCAGGCTTTAACCTGACCGGCAGCTATTCAAGGTGCTTTATCTCAGCTTTGCACGCACGGGTTGCACCTTGCCTGTGACTGAGGCACATGAAGGCGCAGTGCAGAAGTACAACAGTTCAGACGCTAGAGGACAGTCTGTTTCTTTGACTGAACCTCTAGATTTGTAGTGCACATTCCACATAGCTTCCTTTCTCTTACACTAGAAATCAAGTTTGCAAGCTGATGAATCCATGTTCAGGGAGCTTCTCTTCAGATTAAAGATTTCTTTAAGCTAGTTGATTCTCCCTCCCCGCACATAAGTCTCAAAGTGTTGCAAGAATTCTTGAAAATGAGATAATTAACGTCAGTACTGTCTGTCCAACACCAAAGACAAGAGCTTCTAAGGGAGCCATATTCTTTCCTGCTACTCTGTAAATTCCAGCTACTGCAGCACCTAAGGATCACAAGAAAAAAAAGGATCAAATCACACAAAAAGCCAGGGCTGAAATATATGACATTATTTACTATGTCTATGCATCAGTTATTTATAGAACATTACCAAACACTGTATTACTTCATGACATTACAGAATTATTAGCCTTGCTTGTATTTTTCTAGTTATACAAGTCCTTCGGGAATAATTTTCCTAACTCAGATTATTTTTTCCAACATCAGTTTGATTTAAGTTAATTAAATCTTGCTGTTTCCCTGTATACGTCTTCAAATCTTTCTTTACATTTTTGCCTTCTGCTAATGGAAAAGGTATCAAAAAAAAAAAAATCCGCTAAAAATTGACTCAGTCCAAAGTGTGTTTAATAGTGCTTGTATAGGCAGGGAGAAGACAGCAACAGTACAACTGCTAGTTTCTACAAAATAACTGTCAATACTTACACATCCATCAGTTTCATTTAATATTTCAGTTGAATAACCTGGTCATATTGTGTAAGTTTAGCTTTGACTTAAACTATTAAATTGTTAACAGTTGTTTAGCAGATCAAGCAAAACATGAAAAAGATCGAAGTACTGCACTGTTATCTACGAATGTGTATGAAAGGAAATTTCCAACCAATATGATTAGATTTTGAGATAACATATTAAAATTAAGAGATCGTTTTTCTTGTACAGTTGTGTGCAAATTCCCATTTAAAGCATAACATCAAATGGTCAGGATAAACCAGAAACAAAATGCTGCACTGTAAACAAAGCCAGGTGCTACTAAGTTCCTTCTACTGTCTTTCACACACTGAATTTATCACACGCGTTTGAAGAACAAAAGTCACAGAGTAAATGTATAGCTGTGATGTCTTGGAGCAAATGCCTGAGAAAAAATAAGTCCTCATATCAATCAGTCAAAAAAATAACATGTTAATGATGAATAGCATTTTCTGCTTAAACAATTTCTAAACCTTTTAAGGATACTAATATGTTCATTCAAAAAAGAAATATAAGCTTGTATACAGCTGTGTCCATATGTAAAAAAAATTTACTCAATCCAAATCTCATAAGTTTACCTAGAATGAAGCTTTTATTTGATACTTGCTGAACTAGTATTTTCTATACACTATTTGCTTTCCTTGCCTAAAGGACAAACATTGAGTTTATTGTCCTTTATTTCAGAATCAAGGAGTTTTTCCAGAAGATCAAATCCCAAATTTTAATTATAGGCCTTCAGTATGTATGGTCTCAGATGCTATCTAATCATAATTAAATGCTTTCAGATATCACAGAGGCTTTTTCAGGCTCAAAGAAAACTGAAAAGCTACCTATTATTATTTAAAAAAAAAAAAATAGGCAAAGGCTTAAAAAATTTGGAATTTTCTTGGTTTTGCACAGTCACTAACAGGAATAGTCTGCTGAAGTGATCAAAGACCCATTAGTGGCATGGAAATACATTAAATCCCAACAGATTTTCTGAAAGTACAATCTGTAGCTGAATCATCTGACATCTTATAAAAGTAACACCTCATTTTTACAAGCATTTTAGGAAGGGTAGAATTCACTATTAATTGTGGCCATAACAGTACTTAGAGACACTGTTATCCAGACTGTCAGGTGACTAAGTTTTGGAAGGGGGGGTTATTGCTGTTTTTTTAAAAAAAACCTCCATATTTTGTAAAGTATATTTTGTTAGAAATATCTCACCAGAAGGCTAGTCTTATGGTATTTCACTCAGCTACCTTGCATAAGCTTTTCCATTTGTTCCTTGACTATGTGCTGTCAAAAACTGAAAGAGATCCTTTAGACTAAGAGCAGTACTGACATTAAAATTATTTTGGTGATTGAACTCTCAAAGTATATTCAAATCAGCCAAATTGGAACACCGGAATTTGATGCTACTAGTTAATCAATAACAGAAGTTTTTGGCTTCTTGAGAAAATACTGAGATATTCTGGAAAATATCAATATTGAAAACATAAAAATTTGGTAGTTTGATAATTATGTATTTATACTCAAATAACAGTGTGCAATACAACCTGTAATGCATAACCCAATACAATTGGTATAAAGCCAAAGTATACTACAATAGGCTGCCAATGAGAGAAATGAGAATAGCACACCAAAAAGGAGTATTCTTGGGGACAGGAAGAAGAACAGACCCTTCTGGATGAAATACAGCTAAAATCCTTGCCTCAAATTGCCTAACATTTATCTGTTCTTGGTCAGTTTGTTGGGAGTATCTGGATGGGGGTTTTTTTTGGACAGTATCCACTGCTATTTAGTGAATTTTTTATACCTAATAATTATCTATACTGCATTCATATACCTACATAACGATGCAGAGGACTGGAAACAGAAAATGGAAGCTGAAGTCAGTTTGCTATTTCAATTTCTTAAGCACTGGAGGAGGCATAGCCAAACAACTAAATATTTCAAATTTGCATCCCAGTTTGCAGCGCAACAGCTAGTAAAAATCCTCTCTTTAATATTTTATCACCATAATTTGTCTTCAGAAGCTCCCCACAGAATTTCTTTCAGTATGAAACAACGCAGTGCTGTGCAGAAACAAAATACCTGAAAGTAAAAGTTGCAATGCTCTGTGCAAAACCTTTGGGAACAGCATAACAAGTCTACAGTCTAAGCTTGGAGAAATTCTCAAGTGAATTTACACACAAACAGTGATGCTTACTTGTTAAATGTTTTGACCTGCAAAACTGAATGCCAAAAATACAACTGTGTTGCTCCTCTTTTTATGCATAGATAAAAGACACAAAGTACTTTCATTTTAGAAACACTGAACCTGAGCTTTCCCCACCACCGAATACTGCAGAAGTCTCTGCTTGGATATTCCAGCATTACCTTTCCTATCTTCAGTTTTTCACAAATGCTCACGTACAATTGACCTGGTAACAAGGCCACTGCTGCTTTAATCATAGGACAAAAATCAGCATAATGTGTAATTAAAGCACTCAACTGGTTCTATCTCACCTTATTAAAAAAAAAAAAAAAAAAAAAAAAAAAAAAGTAGAGAGTAGTTATACTAACCTATTCTATGCTAATGATGGAAATTCTAGGGAAAGAAATATATAGCACTTAAAAAAGCCTTTTGAGGAAAGTCTTAACAAAATTTTTAATTAAATTTGCATTTTTATTTAAACTTGAAAATCAACAGGCAAGAAAAACTTCCAGTAGCAATAAGAAATAATCTGTCAGAAATCACCCATGAATGTGTCCGAAGCTGAAGCAATAGCATTATTCTGATAATCCGGACAGTACACAGAAAAATGGGAATGAAAGACAGAAAAGTTTGCCTACAGACTATATGATGGTTGCTGATATACAGCTCCTTACCCTCAAAGGCCTTTCAAGTTAGACCACCTTGCCAACAACTGTGAAGGTCTTTGGGCCAAAACTACTGCTCAGGTTAACACAGGCCCCATTCAATCCATTGGTCTGAATGTTGAGAAATCCTTACCAGCACTGTTTCAGGTAACAAAGCACAAGCTTCTTTCCTGTAAAAATAATATGCGCTATTGCTTTCCTCCCCTGCTCCCAACAAGAAAACTCACCATGCTCCTATTTCCTTGTGAAACCTACTGTAGTCGGTAGGTTAGCTAGATGTAGCTGGATAGGATAAAGCCAAAGACTGAATAAAGTGTCCTACTGATCTGATGGCACATATTGCGATGCTGACAAAGATAACAGAATTCCTTAGGAAAGGTGGAAAATCAGTATCTGATACCAAAACATTCTTGGCAACATCACTTGTGTGCCATATTTGGCCAGGTGTAACACTTTTGCATTTCATTACATGAAATACTCCTGCTTTCTGCAATGTTTTAATGGTAAGTATAGGTTTTAACTATAGCTCTGTGAACCTTTCAGCATGCTGCTTTAACAGATAAATGGTTAGCATCTTATCTGTGGATACAATGTCAAGAAGTAAAAAAATGTCTAAAATGTATCTGGAGTGGTAGGCATTAGAATAACACCATAAGAAACCCTGTAACAGATGTCCTTGCCAAAGAACATTTTAGCTAGCAAAACAGTGCAGCTTAATTTTTTAACGTTTGGGGGGGGCGGGGGAGGGGGCGGGGTGGAGGGGGCAGAGATCTAATGACCTTCCTCTCCTTCCTAAATGAAGTAGAAAGTAACATGGCCAAGGCAAGACTGGGAAGTTCTTTCAAATCCATGAGCCAAGTGTAATTTCTCCAAACAAACGAATTTTCTTGGCTGTAAGTCAGTACATTGCACATTTATTTCTTTTAAAAGAGCAACATCCTATCTGGGTGCAATTTTAAAACCCCCAGCAGGCCCAAGGAAATGAGCAGGAACTCAGCCTTGCAACCAATGGAATCAGGAACTCATGGCTTTAAGGGAACTAAGAGGTGATCTCGATCAGAACTCCTTGGCAAGAAAAATCTGCAACAATTATGGTAGGACAGGACTGCTTTTCCTGACACCCCCCCCCCCCCCCCCCCCCCCAAACTAGCTGCTAAGTGTACACCTTTTGAATAGCCTGGTACTCAACATTTCTGAAATGAGAGAGAAGAATGATTTCCTGCACTTCTTTGACAATTTATAGTAGTTTTATCTTTACACAGTAGAAGAGCAACTCAGCTGTCATTATCATTAGGATAGCTATATAACTAAGGCAAAATTCTTAATAAGCAATTAACAAATTGCTAAGAAAAAAGGTTTTTTCTTTGTAGAAGTAGATGTAAAATACGAAAAAATAAAAAATAAACAAACAGAAACAACCAACCAACCACACAAACGAACAAAAAAACCCCAAAAGACAGACTTACTGGTTATCATTGCTCCAGTTATAGAACCCAGAAATCCAATGCTGACCACAATGACAGAGATCAGCCTCCCCTGCCTATGCCTCTGCAGCATCACAAACATTAATACTCCCACAGCACCATGGACAAAGAGAGAGGAGAAGAGAGCCCAGAGGAAAACCCAGTACCACATCTCTGAAAGAAAGCAGTCAAATAAAGGGTTAATATTTCTGAGACAAGAAGTTTACAAGTAAGAAACTTTAAAACATTGCATACAATTAACAGTAAGAGAAAAGCAATAAGGAATCAATGTGACAACATCAGCATATGGCTCAAGACACTTTCGCCCTTTTAACAGTATTTCATAAAGTAGAAACTCTGTTATGATCAAAAAAATTATAAAAAGGATTCTGGCACAATTCTTAATTCAGATATAATATTATAATAAGTCCATCATTTTTGATGTTTTCTTTAAACAAAATTCATTGCAATTTCTTAGTAGGTATTGTAACTACTTCTGTAGAATGAAATAATCTCCGAAACAAAGACTGAACCAGGAAAAAGTCAAGAACTGTTTTGAGGTTGGTTTTTTTTGTTTGGTTTTCTTTTTTTTTTTTTTTTGGGGGGGGGGGGTTGGGTTTGCTTTGTGTTTTTGCTTGGTTTCGTTTTTGTTTTTTACAAGAAGAGTCATCATCAGGTAACATCAAATGGGAAAACTGAGATTAAAGACTTCAGTGTACCTACCCAGGAGCTGTAATAGTGTTCTATCAAATTAGCTTCAAAGGCACAGATAAAAACACTAAAATTTTAACAATAAATTTTAACACATCTAACTCCTTCCTTTGAATTGCTTAGCACAGAACTTCATAGAGACAGGTAGTCACTATTATTTAAATTACTAAGCAAGCACAAGAGATCATTAGAATGTGTAGAGTACAAACATTTCTCTGAAGAATGGCAGATGTGATCATTACCTTCAAATAAAAGTGCAGGAACCACCAAGGAAGCTACATAAGAATCAAAGAACCTTTCTCACTTGGTGGTAATCTTCTAAAAATGTTTACTATAACTCAAAAGGGTGGTGAAATGCAACAAAAGGGAAAACACACACACACACATATATATATATATTGAAGTCAATTATGGTAGGCATATATCGACACAGAATTCAGCAAATTGGGGCACATTTTCCCAACTGACATAATCCCATGAAACTGTCACTAATTCAGAATTTTGCTGCAGTTCCCTGTCAAAAAAAAAAAAAAAAAACAAAAACAAAAACAAACAACAAAAAAACAACCAAACAACAAAAAACCCAACAGCTTCCTTACAACAGCAGGATACTTACTGTTTATGAGGTGAGCCTGTATTATTGCAGTTTAACACACATCAGTCATTTGAGCAGAAATATGACCCAATTAGCTAATTTAAAAAATACTTAGCAGCTCAAACAAAAAAATACTGCTTGCGGATGTTGATCCCTGAAGACCTTCAAACCTAAAAGATACTATGTTCGTATCTTGGATCTTCCATTTTAGTTCTCTGCAGTAATGCAGTTGAGCACATCTTCCAGATTATTCAGAGAAGCACAAAACTAAATTGCTGGCCAGTGAATGTGATGCTGAATGCATCATTTCAAAAGATAACTTGTTCTTACACAGAAGAGGATGCTCTGCCTTGTTTGCAAGTAAATACTGTAGTGGAGATGTTACTTATTTTCTGGACACAGCACCCTTTCCTGCAATTAAGTCTGTCACACAATTTTCATACTACTAAGATTATACTGGTATGCAAATTATTGAGTAAAAAAGAGGCCTAGATCATCAGGACAGAGTGCTAACAACATTCTTGACCCAAACTTTAATTTCTCTTGACTAAAATGGATGCAAGAGATGAAATATCAACTACCAGGGAAAAGCGAGGGTGTCTTGCAATATTACTGAAGATAACCTGATACCCCAGTGACAGACTCAGCGAATAGATATTTCAATTCTGCAGTTGAAGAAAACACTTGGTTCTTGTGTAAGAAGGCAACTGCAGGCTTCTAAGATTGCCAAACACTCCATAACTACGCCAACGTTGCATAGATTCGTATTGTCCCATCAGTTCTTCCACAGTCTAAAACCGAATTTTTGGAAGGTGTGCTGTTGTGAATACTGAATTCAGGCAGGTATCAACTGATTTCATAAAACTGCATCAGAATGAGACAAACTTGTCCCCATTTAACAAGAAGCCCAAGAACAGAAGACTCGGTTGTTTGAGGTGAGAGGGGACCCGCGATTATGGCAGCCTATTCAGCAGCCACTTATTATACAGTAAACGGCCAGTGTGCAGATATGCTATGGGGCAGGGAGAAGCAAAGCTCTTGATATTGTCTGTATGCAAAGGCATCTGAGGGACAGTCCCAGTACACTGAAAGCTGCATTTTCAGTCCTTCTCTCCTAAAACATCACTGCAGCTGAAAAGCTTGAAACTAGACCAAGAAACACTGTTGGAATCTGACTCTCTTAGATACCATCATTCCCTGTCATTTCCACAGGGTTTACTAGGCACTGGATCACCTTTTAGGAAATCAGTGTTTGTAGTCACTGTTGAAGCTCGCCAGGTAGAAAAGGCAATAGATTTCCAGTCTTAAGAAACCTTATTAGGACTACTGTATTTTTTGAAGAAAATGAAAGACTATGGGAAGGCTAACTACTCCCCTGTAACTAAGAAACCAAAAATATTTACAAACCCTTACACAACAAAATAGCTGCATAGTGAGTAACTATCTTGGGTCTTATTTACATTCCAAATAAGGCTCAAGGAAATTTAGCATCACCCCTCACTATAAAGGCAGGAGACACGAGAACAGAATCAGTCCCAAATGTCCTGTTGGATAAAGGAATATAAACTCGAGTCTTGGTACACACTTTATTCCCCTACTCCTTAAAAGCAACACACATATTGAATTCATTTTAAAGGAAATTAGAGAACATCCAGAAATACTTCTTGTTCCACACAAATGCAGCTGTAGCATTTAAAGAAACCACTTATAAACCATCACTTCACAGAGGCTTAGATTTCCAAGTCAACAGCATTGTAAAGTCAGTGATGCAAGAAATACAGGTAGTATTACACATACCTGCAGTGACCCCCTACCTTCTGATTATAAATTATCCATAATAGCTTATAATTTTGTCAAACCAACCATAGATGCTAAAACTTGTAGGTGTTGACTTCAGAAGAGTTGGAGGGGAACTGGAGGGAGGAACACCTTCATGCCCAGATGAAGATAAGAGGGAAGAAGGACCTAAACGTTGTTTATTTGGGAGGGGGAAGTGACAGGTGGGAACAGAAGGGTTAGGGACACAGGCCTGTGATACTCCTGTTTGCAGAAGGCAGGCAGCAGGGTAAGGGTCACAGCAAGCAGTGGAGTTAACTGTCTGTATCCTGTAAGTTGGCAAATTACTTACAGATCATCTTCTATTTGGAGTTGGTTTTTATTTGGGCAACTCCATCAAGTACATATGCTCTAGATTACCCACTCTCCACTAATTTACATACCTAAATTTGTTAAATGAAATTAGCTGAAAAGCTTTTCTTTGCCAAGTTACTAGACAAGCTATGAGCAGAGAGACTGGAAGGGTTTTTTTGTCTTTCCCCTCCCCTCACACACATTCTTGCTAGAGTCTCACCCGCTGCAACAAGAACTGGATTTTAAAAGAGAAGGAAAAGTCTCCCCTGAACAGGAAACAACTCTGCCACTTCATCTTGTGGCTGGAACTATGCTAGCATCTCCCCTCAGTACCAAGATACCTCTAATTTCCTAGACATTAATTATTGGACTTTTCTTTTTTCTTTTGAATGGTTGTTATTAGCAATGAATAGACAATAATGTATACTGTTGCATCCTGATACAAAATAAAGAAAAAGGAATAATCATACTACTCAAGTATTCTGGGATGATAGCTTACCTAATCATCATACAAGAGTAGCATTTCAAAATCCAATATTAAAGAATTTGAGAATGATCACACAAAGCTTTTTAATCATTGATTTAGATCACATCTTTCTCTTGCAATGTTGGATTTTCCAGTGAGGGACTCAATGGAAAACAGCAACTTTCAGAAAACTTCCACAATATACAAAGTCACAGCTGTTTACAATTTATGAACCTTCTATCACAGTCATCTTTGTCATGTTCAGGTAGCTATTAAAATACCTGAAAAATCCATAATTCAGAGAACTGTATCAATTGACTATTTCACATAAGTGTTTCCTGTTCTTTGGCTATAGACTACACATTTAGTAAGAGACTCCATATTTATGAGCGATTCTTCCAAATCTAAGAATTTTCTTAATCTTCCTGAATAGGTATCATCCACTTTGTTAAACCACTACCTCACTTCATTAAAACATCACCTCAGGCCAAGAAGCTGAAACAAATTGCTTTTGAGCACCTTCCCTAGGAAAGGCAGGAAGAGTCATCCTTTTTTCTCCTCTATTTATTCTTTTTATGACTGGTAGTTCGACATTTACTTATTTACTTCTACTCATTAATTGGGCCAGTGACAAAGATAACTGAGTAAGCTGTTTAACATGGATGAACAAGGTAAGAAGGACAGCCAATCTTTTAAGAAAACTATAAGTCTTCAAGCTCCATAAACTGAGAGAGCAATCCAGTCATTCTTATCCTGACAGGTTGAGGGCAGAGAACTTCATGCACAGGTTTTTCCTGAGTGAAAGATGTCAAGGTTTTACAAAATTCAGTATCATCTAACTCCAGATTCATGATGAGAGATGACTCTCAGAAAAAAAGTATGTTGGAGTAACACTGAAGGAAGCAAAGAATGAGTTGGGGATAACATTGAGAGATGCCACTAGAAAATAGAGAATGGGGACCTCTGAACAAAAATGGTCAAGACTGCTTCTTCAAAAATAACTGAGTAGTTGAAAGATTTGCAATACCTATAAGGAGGAGGAAATGAGACTGAAGTGTCTTAAGAACAGCTGGTACAACTATTTATGTTCTATATACTGACTGATACTTTAGGAGGTGTAAATTTACCTACATGATCATCATTGCTACATTGATAAAAAAAGCACACTGTCAAAAAATTTCAATCTTTATGTGGCTATCCTAATTAGCTTGCTCTTCTGATGATATGACCTGCACATATGGAATACTTTGCTGGTATGGTAATAATGATTTAGCTTTAACCTAGCAGAGAGCTTCAAATACTAACCTAGCCTCAGTTTATTTACTCATGCCCTCCATAGAGCTACCCTAAAGAGACATGAATAGAATAAAACTTTAAAAAACCATCCCAGCTTCCTTTGCTTGACCCTAAGAAAGTTTCAGAGCTTATTTTCAGTGTATCCAAATTACTTTAAGCAGCTAAAACACAACTGATTTTAGGAAAACTCCACATTTCCCCAAGAAACATGGAGGACTAGGAAAGATCCAGTACTTAGTAGCTTCCAAGCACAGTGACATCCAATCCACTGCACAGATGACATAGCTTTTCTAATAAGGACAACTGAGATCCATTTTTCAGGTTTATTTAAAATTCCCAGCACTTAAGCACTATCTTAAATCTTATTTTCAGTTTATGTTCATTTCCACTGGATTGACTTGTGTGGGGATTTTTTTATACCCAAAAAGCTGCAAGGCTTAAATAACTTCTAATTCATGCCCTATCACTTCAGTTTTAAAGTACTACTTTGCTAATTTAGGTATTTATACAGATCAGATACACCTCATAGATAAATCATGCTTATGTGCTATATGTATACATTATACATACATTAGTGCAGGCACACACAACCTTAAAGATTATAAAAGCAGTTTCTAAAGCATGCCACTGTTTATAATAACATTCATATTGCTTCCATCTTATCAAAATTTGAAGTTGCACACTATCAACAGCTTCATCTGGGGCAAATAAAAAATGAAAAGTCAACACACAAAATCATATAAATGCTAGCATTTTCAAATATTATCTGTACATATGAACATGCTGTCCTACTGCCACTCAGCTTCAGTAAATATGGAGAACCTCTTCAGTCCTTCACCTTCAGCCTTTTTCTTTTCCTCTAGTCCTTAGTTTGTTTTGCCAGATAAATAATGATTGCCTATAACATTTCCTAAATCAAGACTGGTAACTCCAAAATAAAGTATCTCTCTGAAGATTCTAATCTATGTCCCCAGCCTACCACTGGAGTAGCTACAGTTAGGTCAAAGCAATAAGTATCTATGCTGTGAATATAAAGAAACTAATTTAAGTTCACAAGGTAGCACACATTGAAATTTGAATTAAGAAACTGTATAATGTTATATTCCTATAGACCTATACACTCGAAGCACTCAGATGAAGAAATGACAGTATATCATACCTGCAGATGTAATTTTACATGTTACAGTATTTTCTTCATCACTGGATCCTTTCCTTACTGTATTAACTGGTACTTTCAAAGTTAACAGGACTATACAGTCAAATTGTTGTTTGGAGATGCTAATGTTTTTGCCGCATTGAGTAGAAGAGAAGCACTTGCTGAGGAGCATTTAAATCATAAATTACAGACTAGTCCTCTCACATCACAGGGTAAGGGACAAATGAGTAGAAGATGGAGCTCAGCAAAAAAAAACATAACAGACAAGAAGCATCTTCTATGCAACATCCCTAATCTCTTACAAATGTTCACTTTTGACAAATTCAGGAGTTATTATTGTCCAGCACTTGAAAATTACAGACTTTTATTTCAAAGTGTATAAAAGCAGTTGGTAGAATCTTGAGCTCATCACCTTAGGACACTGGGGTGTGGGGAGGAAAAGGAAGATGACTCTGACTTTGGAAGTCATACAGTACTCCACAAGCTTTGGGTTTTTCATGAATTCATCTGCACAGAGAAAATGATATTCTCCCCCCCACCTCCACAGTGGCTAATATAAATCCTGCTCAGACCATAAGCTTATACCTTTGGAACATACAATAACTAGATGTAAACAAGACATCAACATTGGTTAGAGAAAGAGTGGAAATATTGCTAAGTTCTTGTGGAAGTAGCCTTTAAATAAATTATTTATTTTAACAGGCACTCAAACTGGGATTTTTTTTTTTTTAATTTTTTTTTTTTTTTTTCAGTTCCGATTCAGCTATTATCTGACTTGTTGTAGTAAACCCTGGTCTACCACTAACTCTAAATCCCTATCAGTTCACATAAAGGGGCTGTTCTTGGGATTTTCTGGAGGAGGTAAAACAGGGCAAGAAAAAGCCACCTCTCCCATGCTTACTCGAACCTCATCTCCACTTCCCAAGTGAAGGCAGGAAGATATGAAGCCGAGTATATCATGCTGGTGGGCCTGGGTTCAGCTACAAAGAACAGTGCTTGCAGCTTTAGCTATCACACAAGCGTGATGTATATGTGGGAGGAATTAAATTGTCTGTGGTCTCCTGGGTATTTTGGGCCATATGTGAAAGACAGGATTTTTTTTTTTTTTTATGTTGAACCTGAAGCAGATATATGGTATTAAAATAAGGTTCAGCTTCTTGTTAAGGGGGAAAAAACCCCACCAAAATTAAATGATTACTGTTTGAAGTATTCCTGGTTTAGGCTAGAGTTCATATCATGTCCCTGTTGAAAGTTTTAGAAAATGAACATGGTTTTAAGAAGGATGCTGATAAAATTTTACAACTTTGCACAAACGTAATCAACATTGATTATCTAAAGAAGATAAATTTTTACCCATGCAACATAAAAGCCAAGTCTAGACAACTTTAAGTCCAGAAATAAACACAAAGCAGTCTTAAAGACCATTAATGTATACATATTTATTTTCCTAGTATGGTGAAGAAGTTTCTCCTTATACTTTAGAAAGATGCAAAAGGGAATGAAATAAGTAGTCAAACAATCAAACTCATTCACACATATTTTCCTAGCATGAAAAAAAACAGAAACAAAATTTCTGGTTTTGAACAAAGTTTACTTTAGTATTTCAGGAAGAGTTTACGTAAGTTTAGTAACAGCTATTTGCTAATATAATTTATTATATTAAAAACAATTTCTTAAGATACAATTGGTAACAGTGTATCTTATATAGAAGATTTTAAATCCAGTTAAAGTTATTAACTGTCAACAACATTACATAAGAACATTCAGCGCTACAAGTTATGGCTATAAGGACAACCTGCATTTAAGCACTAATTCAGAAACTGTAGTGTAACTACAACTGACACCGACATATTCTCTAACAATACTCTGACAGATAAATATTTATTTTTCATATTCTTTAAATTAAAAAGAAAAAACATTCCACATTAAAAATACCTTGTGCAACCCCTCATTGCATTGCAAAAGTGCTGAGAAACAAACTGTTTTGCTTGCTTAACACTCAGCACTGAATTTCATAGAAATGCCTATGTTGCGTAATGTTTAATAAGGAAAACTTCATAGACAATGTCTGTCACAAAGAAAAGTTAAAGGAAAAAGTTCATAATGGATTTAAGAGTACAAGATGTATTTTTACAACAAGTATGCAAAAACAGCTACTCAGAAAATGACTTGTATTAGTGTGTCACCACACTAATACCTGGAAAATTTAATCATCAGACACACATCTTAAAAAGTTCATAGATCAAATTTAAAAAAAAAAATATATAACCTTTTTATTACATTAAAAACTATCCTGGAAGTTAAAAGAACAAGAAAGTTAATAAAGCCTAAAATGATTGCTTTCTGTTTGCTACAGCTTCAACTTCAGCTACACCTCTATCTTCATCATACTACTTCTACCTTGAATAGATTTAAAAAAAATAAAAATCTACCAATCATTACTACAGAGGGGGAGGAAAAATATAGCATAATACTCTTTCATAAATATTAGAATAATTTTGACAAATATTTGAAACACCGTATTTACTCCACATTTTCCACTAATCTGTCAGCACCTAATATACCCCTATATCAAGCAGAAAGAATTTACTCAATAACATCTCTGCTATTGACACCAAATCCCTGCTTATTCAGAGCTGGAAGCTTATGCTTTTCTTTAGACCTGGACAGAACTGGAAATCAGAAGATATACCTCTCCACTCTATGCCTTGCATCTCACAGCAGTTCCACACCCATTTTTCAGCAAGAGATTGAGCAGAAAAAAGCCTGTACTTGCCAAAGCAAGCTAACACTCTCCCTCTATTTCACAGCTTTTTTTTTTTTTTTTTTTTTTTTCAGAACAGCTGTCTTTAAGGATCTCTGATGATTAAGATTACAGTCTATTTGTCACGAAATATCTGCCACCTCATTAACCCCCACAGCTCTCACTGTCCAGGGGTATAGTTGGGGGGGGGGGGGGGGGGGGGGAAGTCCCCGATTCTCACGTTCATTTCTCTATTTTGCTCGTTCGGTTGTTTTTTTTTTTTTTATAGCTCTGTCAAGAGCCAGTGAGCATACATCCCCAAAAAGCCCCATAAAACTACCCAAAACAGTCCCCCAAGCATCGCCCAGCCTCCCATACATATTTATACATTCGCATATGCTTTCTACAACCCTTTACTCACACACAGGTGCCCATCAATTCGCTCCTATACCATTAGCCTTTTTTTTTTCTACAGATGCACACAAAAGCGAGCGAGCACGTTCACATCCTCAGCTCCTTTGCTCCTGCAGGCGCACCAGATACTGGGTACCCCCCCCCCCCCCCCCCACGCCCCGAGTCCTCCCACACAGATCCCCCTCGTTGCACCGGGCAACCCCACCCCCCAAGCGTACACACGCGTTATGTACACGCTCACTCAAGAAGGGCGTATGCACACACACACACACGCGCGCGCGCACACACACACGCACACGCAGCCCCAGGAACACGCACGCCTGCCCTCCCTACGTGCAACACGCGGGGAGACAGCCCCCCACGCACCGGTCCCACACCCACGCCCTCCATTGTGCGTACCGCGGGGCTCCCCGCACCCCGACGGCACCACCCACCCACGCAGCTCGCCCCCACGCGTGTGCCAAGGCCAGCCTTTCCTCCTCCTCCTCCTCCTCCTCTTCACGCCCACGCCCCGCCGTTACCGGTGAGGTTGCGGAGGACGGTGCCGTGCGCCCACAGGCTCAGCACCTGCTGCACCGACAGGTTGATCATGGAGTTCTCTCCCGCTTCCACCTTCATCGCGGCGGGCGGTCCCGGCGGCCACGCCGCTCCCTCAGCCGTGGGGCGGGGGGAGACGGGGGCGGCAGCCACGGCCTGACGACCGCGAGGCCTCCGGGACGGCGGGGAGGCGGCGAAAGGGCCCCCACGCCGCGGGGGGAGACATCGAGGACGGGGGAGGGAGGGTGGGGAACCGAGCCGCTGGGGCCGCTGCCCCCCGCGCGGCTCAGGGGCCAGGCGGCGTGGACCCCACCGCCGCCTTCGCCATCGGTAACGGCCGCCGCTGCCGCCTCACCGACGGCATCACCTGGGCTGGGGGGGGGGGGGGGGGGGCGGAGCGGCGGCCGCCGCGCTCCCCCCCCCCACGCGAGAAGCCCCCACGCCAGCGGCCCGCCCCGGAGAGCGGGAGCGGGAGGGGCGGCGCCGCGCAGGCGCAGTGCGAGGAGCTGAGGGGAAAGCGAGAGGGAGGGGGGGGGGGGGGGAGGGCGGCGCCGCGCGTCTGTGGAGAGCGCGGGGCGGGGGGCAACGGGCAGCCCCCCCCGAGGTGAATGTCGGTGGGGCAGGGCCGGAGCTGGCTGAGCTGAGGGGGCGGGGGGGGGCGGCGGCGGGGGGAGCTGCCGCCCCGGCAGCGCTGCGTGACGCTCCCGGGCACCGCGGGGCTCGACGGTCGCCGGTGCCGCAGGGTAAAACCCTCAAAAAGTTCGGAAATACGGGAGGGCTTGAGCCGGTCTTACTTCCGTGACCGTACTTCAGTTAGTTCCTTTGTTTTTATATCATAAAAAAAAAATGCAGTCTGTGAGGTGGACGCTGCCTCTTTCGAAGCACAGGGTGCACGGTGCTTGCTGATGTAAAAAATCAGCAGTTTTTCCCCACACACACGCTCTTAAATATGTGCCCCTAGGCCATATTTAGCGCACACATTCCCTCCCTGGCCTTTCTTCAACAGCGCTTGCTATAGTACTTCATAAGCATCCTTTGAGGTAAAGGGTTGGAAAGGTAAATTAATTCGCAATATAATTTGCAATTTATAGATGAAGAGCCACAACAAACCGACATCCTCCAATGACCTGATTTTTTTTTTTTTTTTTTTTTCCCCCCCAGTAGGGGTGTTTGGTTCAGCAGACCTGCTCCCCAAGCCTTTTGTTTGGAGCTGACAATGCTTGGCATTTCTGCAAATAGGTATCCAGCCAGGCAATGAGAAACGCAGAGTGAACGACTCCCCAGAGGGCTCGGGGTTTGCCTGGGGAGGCAGAGGATCACTGTGGTGGAGAAAGAACCCGGCTGCCGGGCCAGGTCCTGTGGTGGAGGGAAGGTCCTGCCTCCCTCCTTCTTCCTGCACTCCCACCACCTTACAGTTTTATTATTCAGGCCTTACAGAAAAAAACAGGACCCTTTGTTACACAGTAGTGATTCATTTTTAGGGCAGAATTATTCCGTGCTTTTGAGTAGGGCTCAGTGGGAAAACGGTGTATCATTTACATTTGAATGTGAAACACACAATGAAGTGTTTACAAACAGTTATTCTGTTTTTTTTTTTCTTTGTAGCTTCTGTATGCTGAACTTCAGAGGAAGCAAAACTTTTTTCAATGCGCTTAAACAAAGAAAAAAAAAAAAATCCCCAACCCTAAATCTGTTTGTATTGTAGACCAGTGCCCCAAGAACAAGTGTACTCCACGGGGCACTGTGGTGTAAGCAGAGAAACTCACAGATAAACAGAAAACTAGCCTCTTTTGAACGTTTTAGCTTGTATACCTTATCACAAGCTACTGACAGATGTCAGCAAGACCATCTGATAGGCCAGAGTTATGTATGGAAACATGCATTTATCCATATACAACGCTGCATTGGTGCCCAGTGACTTCTTGACCTGTACACTAGTGATTTTTTTATGTTCCATGCAAGGAAGGGATGCATTGGGAGTACTGGCTTTGAATCACTTGTGCCCAGAGCTTGCTAAAACACCTTCCACAAAGCTTCCGTTTTACAACAGAGGTACGGAGAACTCATCCATGTAGAGGCCAAGTAGTGCTCTGAGGAATACTGCTGTAGCCTACAGACTATGTTAATAGTTGATGGGCAGTGTCCTCTGAGGTCACGCAGATGCTCTCTAGATCCTGGGAGAACAAACCAGCTTCCTTCCCACGAGAGAGCCACCAAAAATGCGGGCCAGCTTCCACTGAAACTCCACCTAAGATGCTAAGAATGGTTGTCAAACCTCAGGCACACGCCATATTAATTGAACATTTTCTGATCAAACACCACTGACACATGTGGAGAAGCTCCACTGATAGTGCAGAAGGGATAAAGGGGCAAAGACTCATCTTACAAGGGGCCGTAATTTGTCTCATTTATTCAACTTAGTCCTCAGTGCATCACCCAGCGGTTGAGCTGGATATAAATTTGAAATGCGCTTTTTGTCATGTGGAAACAAGGCTGGTGGATCATCGAGAAAAATATTAAGTGTTGACTTTAAAGAACAAAAAAAAAAAAAAAAAAAAAAGTGGTGCATGGCAAGGACATTTCCCAGTAGCACAGTGCTGGGAGGACTGCACTGGAGGAAGAGGGTGCCTTGACTGAAGCAGCAGAAACAACCAAAATCCACTCCTCCAAACTTTAGTTCCTTAAAATATTTTAGTTCCTTAAAGTATTAAAGGTTAAAAAAAGAGAAGTAGCCCTTTTGTAAGACCGCTTCATTCCCCTGTGGTACCTTGTGATGGGAGGGAGGACGGGCCCAGAGGATGTGGGGACAGATCAGGGAATGTGGCTGCCAAAAAGAGGGCTTGCTGCCAGGCCGGGGGGTCTGACTGGCGCCAAACACTCCGCAGAAGTAGGAATTAGTAGGAGAAGGTCTGTAGCCACAGGAAAAACGGGGGGCAAGGGGAAACAACCCCACAAATAAACCTCCACTATTTGTGTACGGATAAAAAAATGATGTTCCCACTCCAGTTTCGGGGGCCGGAGCACAGGGCAGAGGAGGTGGTGGCGGCTGGAAGCACCAGTGCCATGACAGCCGGGGTCCCCCTGAGAGAGCGATAATTAAACCAAGTGATAATTAAAGCCTTGATGACTCTGGGCTGCCTTTACAAGTATGAACACACTGATAAAAATTCCACGAGGAACGCCTGAAAACTTACACACGGACTAATCTTTATTCCAGACGATCTCACTTTCCTCCCAGCGTAACTCCCACTCCCTGGTTCCCTCGCAGTAGCTGGGAGATTTGGAGGCTTCCCCAAGCTGCATGAATGTGAAACACTGCAAGGAGCCGGCTGTAAACCCCGACTTCAGTCAAAGGAAATTAGTTTTACAGGTGGAAAAGCAGGGTCAGCTTAGTTTCTCTGCCCCATGAAAGATTATCATATGTCTGTGTAAGCTGTTATTAACTTCTAGTGTTGCTTTCAGAAGCCGAAGAAATAATGATAAATTTGATTGGAGAGCCCTTGGCTGAATCATTTTCCACTTGGAAATGTAACGCTGTTCAAAATGAACCGCTTTCTTAAGTCATGTCTTCTAAGGGAAACGAACAACACTGAGCGCCCTGTATTGTCACGTTTTGAAACAAATATTTAACTTCTGCATTGTGAAATCAGCTTTTTGTCATAGTAAAAAGTCAAAATCCAAACCACATATTTTGGTCCCCTCGAAGAAAAAAATTTCCACTTGGCATTTTCTAACCGGCACTTGCCACGCAGATTGATTGGCACTGCAGTTAAAGATCTGTTTGAGATCTGTTTTTACTGGACAGATAACCCCAGCACTGTTCAGATATACAGACATTTTTTTCCCCCACTTCAAAGGGGTTTTTTTTAGCCTATGATTCAAGTCGCTGACAAGACATTACCAAGTGCAGATAGTAAATGAATACCTCAGACGTTAGCGATAGATTTCTGCGCGCTTGCCCCCCTTCGAGACCACCATTTCACGCGCAGCAGTTCCTGCTCAGTCAGAACTGGCAGCCACGGCTAGCTGTGGTTTGAGAACTGGGTCATTCAGAGATCCTTGGCCTTGTAATCTCAGCTCTTAAAAGGCTGAAACACGATCTCAGCCCCTAGCCTCGATGATGGGTGAAGACGCCTTGACAGCAACATAGGAGAGGAAGGAAGGAAGGTGATATCACGGGCTGAATATCGTCGCCCTCCCCAGCACGAAAGCAGCCTCTCAGGTCGGTCGAAGCCACCAAAACCCGTTCCGAGCTGGCACCCAGGGCCGCAGATGGCAGCAGTGGGGCCCCGGAGACTTCTCCCAGGCACCGGCAGATGGAGCGCGGCGGTACCGGAGATCATCTCCCGCAGGCTGCCAGGGCTGTGTTTGCAATGTCATTTCAACTCAATACTCGTGGATACTTAGAATCCGCAGTTAGAATCTCTCTCTTTTTTTTTTATTTAAAGTTTTGAAAGAAAAAGTCTGCTTAGTCATGTCAGAATATCCCTCTCTAAAAGACGCTGACTTTTAGCCGGTAGTTTGCCTTAAAGATTGGACCCATCATGAAATGTGTATAAAAGTCCCACTGACTACTTAAAAAAGACTTGTGGAGTGCTGTCATAAATAAATTCTTGCCTAAACTGGGATCTAAATTTGTTTTTTAGCGTTTAAGTCTGCATTGTCTAAAAGATCAAGCCACAAGTTTGATTTAAACAATATCATCAGTCAGAAAGATAAGACTATCTTCTTCACACACGCACACAGGAATGTGCGCTCATGCATACACAGCAGTTTTAAGCCAGGACTATGGTTAATATCAACTATGCCGTGACTTATAAAACGACTTTTTTTTAGTCTGTGTGAGCACCTCAAAAGGAATCTTTTCTTATGATTAAGAACACTATCAGGGTTCACATGAAGTCTAAATTATCATTTGTGTTTCCCCTTTTAAGCCGGCTGAAAGCAGGCAACTACCTGTGAAAATTGTCCTCAGAAAACATTTGGAATAGATCTACAGAAACAACCATCTTTCAAAACACAGATGAAACTAGTTTCACTGTTCCCTCAGGAGTTAAGAGTACAGTAAAAGTGGGGAACAACTCTTGCACCTTTGTTCTCTTCAATGCCATGTTCAAAAAAGTTGTTTGTCTAAAATGCAAAAAGCTCACTTGGCTGCGAGACCTATTTTTTTTACAATAGTGCCCCCTCCCCACTGCAATTATTTTTTAAATAACGTACCAGACTCTCAGGATCCATGCCAACAACTTGATGCATGATAGCCACATCAGGTTGCTCATGTGCTTAGGTCTTTAGGTAGCAAGGACATTGTCAAGTTCTTAGTTTTGAATTATCCTATTTTTAAATACTTTATTTTGAAGTCGCTGGAATTTTGGTAGAGAAATCTGTCCCTTCATTAAACTAATTTTTATTTAGCCCTCACATAAGTATGTTACCATCCAGACAGTATATAGGCTTTTATGCATAA